TTACATTTACAACATTCAACACAATAAAAGATTACTAATGGGTCATGCACTCTTTTCAACATTCTTTTATGCTTGAAGTGATTAAAAAAATTTAAAGCAAATAGGTCAAAATCAATAAATTCAAAAATACATTTGCAACAAAATTGCAAATATACTATGCCTTGCATTAATAGCATGGACTGTATGCTGTTAATGCAAGCATGTTCATCTAAGCTTAGCAAGTTAACTGGCTAATTTTTTTTTGCATACTAAAATGCACTCTGAACTCTCCATAAAAAGACACAAGATAATGCAATGCAGCACAATGAGTATGAATGATACCGTAACACTAATGCAAAAACTCTACTTTCCAATTTAGCAGATAGCCTTTGCTTTTCAAATGCATTCAATCAAAAAATATAAAAGTACCAACAAAGAAAGTATGCCATCAGCATAGAATTTGTTGGTAAAAAACACTGACCTATTGAATTTATTTAGGTATGTGTATTTTCTACATGTTTTTGTTGACAGTGAAGTTTTTAGAATGATTTTGAAGATGAAAACATTCTAAACAAATAACCTGAATCACATCACCATCAGGAGTCAAATGCATACACACTGCATTGAGTACATACCCTTAAACAGCAGATCAAAGCAATGTGTACTTTTTGTAGTTACATCACTTGTTTGTGAACTTAAGCAAAGTGGTGAAAGTACATTCATAAGCACACACCTCTGGCATTCCATCTATTTTTATTTAAATTTATTTATGAACTCCACACTCATTAATACATCAACACAAAATCCAACTTTCCTACAAAAAAGTTAGTAGTTATCATTCAGGTAATGGCATTATGAATATAATCTTTTTCTTCTATATAGCTTGCTGGCCATAATATCACCTCCATGCTATATGTGTGATGAGTACAGAAGCTTTTCAGAGAGTACACCATTTGACCCAGCTGCGTCAGACACTGGATCCAGGAACATTATGACTGGCCATGCATAAAATAGGTTGAGTCAGTTGGATTGAGGATGGGTGGGAAGCCATTGGAGGACTGATGGATGAATCCTACTGAAATTCAAGTGCATAGAGACTAAATAAGCCCATGTGTAGCCTCTCAGGAACTAAGCCATGGACTAGTTGCACTATGACTTCTTCAACATATGAATGCATTGAATGTAACCCAAGTTTCTTAATATTTTATAAACACTGGCCATTTCTGGGCAGTAGATGAGTTTCTGCCAAAGGTATGGAGATTGAAATAAAAAGACATCCTCTAGTTACAGGTTGGGGAAATCTGGCATCCCCTAGTTACAGGTTGAGAAAGTCTATCGGGGAAACAGACTATTATTTAAAAGAGAGAATGTCATTGTCCAAGCAGCAGTAATGGGGGGTACTATATAATCTGCTCTGGAATATTAATTAAGTTCTTTTTAATTTAAAAAAGGTCTGTTTTGAAAAGCAAGGACTGGGGGGATGCCTTTCTGTTTCTAACTAAAATCAACATCAGACTACTAGTGAATCAAATTTGAAACTAAACTGGAATAAGCTGTGGAGGTTATCTCAGATACCAGCAGACAACCAATTACTTATCAGCAGTCATCACCTGCAGAAGCATCAAGTATCAGCTGAGGAGTCCAATTTGCTTTCAAGATTCCAGTTAGTCTTTTTCTGTTGGTAGTTACATCCAAAATGGCTCACTGTGACATTAGCTCCTTAAATGCCTACTGCTTTACTCCAAATCCCTCCCCCATATCCTTCCCTCTGCAGCAATAGGAATACCATTAGTCCTCCTCCTATACTGACTCTGACACTAGAACAACTGAAAATATCCCAAATCTAAGAAACAAGACATTTAGAGCAGCTGAAACAGAATGGAATATGCAAAATGCTTTTTCTATGTGGAATAGCTGCATTTTGAATCGTAACAGAATAAAACATCTGAAACTGATATTTGAGTTAATGTTGCATGTTACACTGGCTATAGAAATGAAACCAGCTAATGTCTTAACAATTAAAAGTGATGTACAAAAAACAAACCAGAAGAGCAAGTTGGATAACTTTCCTATTTTGGATTTACATGTTAAAGTTTTGAAGTAATTTCTGAAAAGAGACAAAGAGACAATGACGTAATCTCTGAGAAGAGACAAAGAGAAAATGGAAAAAAATTAAGTTATAGGATATTATTTAAAGGGATATCAAGATTATTAAAAGCAAAGGGAAAATATGAAGCTAGTTTATCCGATCAAGGTTAAACTATGTTGTTTCTGGTAACCCTTAGGTGACTTTTGCTGATTAGGGCTGAATGAAAAGACTTTAAAATTAGTCTATAGATAAGAGATGAGATTATGGGAAGAAGAGATCTTTTGTAGCAAGGTAATCTCCAAGGTGATAAATTACTGAATTTTTTTGTTCTTGTCATGATGAGGAGGAAGTTATTTCCTTATAATTATCTCTTTTCTTTAATATATTTTTTCTTTTTTCTCTGCACTTTTTTTTCTTTTTACTCTTTACTCTCAAGAACCCTTAAATTAACATTTTCACTATTTTTTCTCCACTAAAATGTGCTCTTTACTCATTTTCAACAACACAAACTTAGTAACAGATAATTTTTTATCAGTTTTGTTAATAATATTATCAAGCTAGGTTCTCTGTCTCTCATCAGCTAAGAATCTGTGTAGGTCACATAAAATATAAAACAATTCTAAGTTTAACAGCTAAAGTATGCTTTCTTAAACAGCAAACTGACAAATTTTTATACATTTCTCCCCAAGCTTAACCTAATGCTTTTCTGCATCTGACTTTGTCTGGAGGCTGATCACTGCTTCATCTGAGTATGTAACTCAGAACAAAAATGACTTCAAAATCAATTACATACTTCCCTCTTTTTCCTAGTTCTTCCTATCTAAGCCAATAAAAAGCAAAAGCTTTCATTATTTTGTAAATCTTCAATTGGCCTTACAAAATGGCCCCTTAGGATTTTGATTTTTTTTTCTTGTGATAAAGCATCACTACTATCATGTTGTACTGTTCTGACTTCTGGAATGCTTTTTGCATACTAATATTTTTTTTGAGCATAACCTCCTTCAACTAAGACCCTCCAATTTTCAATTGCAAAGTGGTTTGTTTTGCAATCAACCTCTAAGTTATATTCCTTTTACTTGCTATATTCTTCAAACTTTCTGAGTTCTAAACCTTGCAATTTCTTAATATGTCATTATTAAATATTATATCTTACTAACATTACTTGAGGGATTACCTTCTCCCTCTCCCTCTCCCACATGTTCCCATAGGGAGGGAATGCTCCAGATTTCTTCTTTTAAACTGTCACTTTATGGGACCTAAAGCATGCTTTTTCTCTAGTTGCCCCTGACCTCTGGAATGATCCACCCCACCAATACAGGTAGTCCTCAACTTACGACAGTTTGTTTAATGACCATTCAAAGCATTCAAAGTGACTTACGACTGGTGCAGTATACTCAAGGTCATGTGATCAAAATTCAGACACTGGGCAAGTGACTTACATTTATGACAGTTGCACGGATCCAAGCTCGTGATTACCTTTTGTGGCCTTTCAACAAGCAAAGTCAATGGGGAAGCCAGATTCACTTAAAAAACATGTAACTAACTTAACAACTTGCAGTGATTCACTTAACAACTGTGGCAGGAAAGGTTGTAAAACTTAACAAATGGCTCACTTAGCAATATAAATCTTGGGTTCCTTTATGGTCATATGTTGAGGACTACCTGTAGAGGCCAGGCCTCCGACTCTCCTTGTCTTTAGGAAAGCTCTTAAGACCTGGCTCTTCCTAAGCCATTTAGGGTCATTTGAGTGGGAGCTCCCCTCTAAGGTTTATTATGGTCTGTGGTGCTTGGTTGTCATATTTCACATTTTTAGATTGTGTATTTATATACTAGGTGTTGGTTGTATGATGACGATGTGTTTTGTTGTATGTGACACTGCCCAGAGTCACACTGTCTGAGTTAAGCAGCCTTATAAATCTTTAAGTTACATACCTACTCAAACATACATCAATTTTCCTCTGGTCTTTCCCAGCTTTCTTTAACTGTATTTCCTACCTTATGGAGGTCCCTCATTGCGAGGGATTTCCTACCTTATGGAGGTTCCTCAAGGTTACTTTCCAAAACTTTTCTACTGCCGGAGGGAATGCCACATCTATGCCACAAGCCCTGCCAATTGGCAAAAGGCAATGGCCCTCCTGGTAACCATCCCACAGAAAAGGCTTTGTAGGTTTCGGACACGCCAACATTTATCAAATGGCCGGTGCAATTTGAATATACTAAGCTACTGACCTACGCATTTCATTAAAAAATAAAAATAAAAAACTTTCCACAAACCTCCCCCCGTTACCAAGATCACCCCACCCTCCAAGTCTACTCTGGGTTTATGTCCTGCACAATTCATCACCCGCCCTGATGACATTTTGTGGGGAACCTCCAACTCCTCTATTAACTGTGCCTTTCCTGTAAACTGAGGCGAGGTATGTATTTCCTTCTCGTGCCGCGATTCCCCTCCATACCCTGGGTCCCGCTTTCTTCACCCCTCTCTCCCTCCAAACGCTCCTTCAGAGAATCCTCCCTGCAGATCCCCCTCCTGTCATCGCTCCTCGACCCACCTACCGAACAGCCAACCCATTCCCCGTCCCACTCACAGGGTCTTGGGCTGTCCGTCGTCTTCCATCATGCTACAGGAAAGCTGCTCCCAGGCAGAGCCAGGATGCTGCACCGGAGGGGGGCGGGGAAGCGTAGGGAGACTCCGAGACACGATTAAAACAAAACACAAAAACAACCGAGCCGCTCCAGGCCTCTCGTTTTTTCTTAGGCCTCGGCAGCCCCCAAGGTAGGAGTCAATAGAACGCTGAGGGGGGGAAGGGGGGGCGTTGAACCAAAGGCTCCACAAAATGGCCGCGGTCGCCAACCACTCAGGAAATCGTGCAATGCGCAAGCGCAGCGCAACCCATCTCTCTCTCTCTCTCTTTCTCTCTCTCTCTCTCTCTCTCCCACCTTCCTCGGCGTCACGATAGAAAGGGAATGTTGGAGCCGCGTTTCTTAACTTGGACGGCTTTCAGCTATGTGGACTTCAACTCCCAGAATTTCCGGCTGGCTCGGAGGGGCATTCTGGGAGTTGAAGTCCACGTACCTGAAAGTTGGTAAGGTCTCCGAGGCACGTTGCGTTGGAGTTAAACACAAGCGTTTTGCTTCCTGGTTCACGCCAGGGATGGGGAAAGAGAATCGGCGCTCAGGCGGAGTCAGGGGAAGGAAGGAACCAAACTTTTTCCATACTAGGTCTTACACTTATTTTCCCAGTGTTTCGTTTAGAGTTTATTGTAGCCTTCCTTAAAACACGTGTGGTCAATTGTTCACGAAATAGTTTCCCTTGAAATCTGTATCCAGGTTATTATGTTTACTCATAGTCTTCCGCTGAGTAAGCATAGATCAGTTCTCTAAATGTTTACCCTAACCCAAAATACTTCTCTTCTTCTGATCCTCACTTGTAATAAGGAACATTAATTATAGATTAGACGCAGACTGGGAGTACTATGGATAATTTTGCCTGCCGAGATTATTGATCAAAATGTTCAGAGGAAAGCATCAAAGGTAATAAAACAAATCCAATGAAAATAGCTTGAAGAATTCCTTAGTCTGGAGTTGTTTACGGAAGGACTACAATAGGATAGTACTATATCCTTCAAATATCTGAATGACTGTCACATAAAAGTTTAAGGATTAATTGGACAAGACCTTTCATAGTAAAGCCATTTTTTAAAAAAAGAAATGGATGCTGTTTTTTTGTGGGAGATCTCCAAATAGAGGTTAATACTTGATGCTTTTGTTGTATGTTCTACATCAAGCAGGGACTTGAATTAGATGCATGGAAAATATCTGACCACACCATATCCCCTCCCTGCCGCCCCTCCTTTTCCATGCCCCTCCTTTTCCATGTTGGGAGCATAGCTATGAAGTCAGCAGAGAAGAATCTTAAATGTGTACTGATGTATAGACTGTATGGATAATATATAGCCATGGAGATGTTGTTTGACTTTTTCCATAATGTGTTTCCTGCATATAAAAATACAAGTGTGTATATGTGTTTTGGGGGGAGGGGGTGTAGGTAGAAGAGGTGAGTTGCAAAGGGAGACAGATTTTCAGTGATTGCACAACAGTTGGATTCCTGAAAATCCCAAGCTTTTATTTTCAATCTAATTTTTTATTTTGTTTTTATAATTTTGTATCATTTAGCTTTTTTACATTTATAATCTAATTGTTTTATGAGTGAAATATATTATAAAAGATGGTTTAAAATATGAATGCTGGTATTTGTGTGGTATTGTTAGTCATTTTCCTATTAAATCAATCTCCCATTCACTCCAATATGAATAAAATGTCAACTTCAAATTCTTCCTTCAATATTTATTTTAAGGCTAATTGCTGTCCTTGACTTCAATAAATGTTTTCAGGACAATTGTACTTTATCAAAGTCTTACCTCTCAGCATTCAGTGCTAAGGCATACCTTTGTTATTTTAAGCTTTAATCCCTGCAATAATAAAGGCATGAATTTATCTGTATTTTTCATGAACAGCTGTGACTTCATTAATATAAGAAGAGTTTATCTTGCTGTTAAATTACACAATAATCTAAAGTAGAGAATTACAATGTATAAAAAGATCATCACTTCAACTGTTTTTCTTACACTGATATTTTTGTAATTTTTTTTAAAAAAATTACTGCCTATGATCAGGACTGCTTCTGTCTGAGAAATTCTAATGAGGTGTCATTCAGTAATGGTTGTTCTTCATTATGGAAATAAGGAAAAAAAGCAATTTAGATATTCATTATCAAATTACAACAACCAAATTGTTACAAGATATGTGGCCTCATGTAATATTCTTATTTGAACCAATAAGAGATGTGAGGTGTAGCAGGTTTGCATAAAAAATGTAGACGAAAAAGGACAATAAATTTTGTTAGAGCAGTTTATACTCAATACAAGAGCAAAAATCTGTTTTGACAGAAACAATATTTTGCCTAGATGCCACAAGGTGGCTCTATTTACTGCTTATCTTGCACACTTTCTCAACAAATCACTAAGTAGCAGATTTGGATGGCTTTAAAAATGTCTGAATCTGAAGTTATATTTAGCCCAATATACTATCTCTTCTGAAGTAGCAATTGCACTTAGACTTATATACCACCCACAATCATGGTATATTAATGGATAATGTCTTAGATTTTTCACTATTACAAGAATATGCTGTTCAAAAATAAATGATTTAATAGTCCAATACACATTTTGAATGTAGTGCAAAGTAATCTGCATTTATCTTTTAAATAGCTTTTATAAAGAAAGAAATATTCTCACAATACAGAACTTTAATTCTGTTTAAAGTTAATATAAACAATTGCTAATATTGTAATACGGGAATTATCAACTATGGCATTCTCTAGGCTAGAACAATTTTACTCTTCTAGCAATAATTTGGAACTATAAGAGTGTTTTGCTTTAATAACAAATAGTTAAATTCTTTAACATGACAATTTTAATGGTTGAGTATATTCAATCAGGCCTATTGTAATATGCATGTATACATAATACATTTTCAAAAGATTACGGGTATATTTAAATTTGAGAAATGTATGATTTGGACTATGAAAACAATCTTTTTGTTTTGTTCTGGTTAAACTGCAATCAAATTATCATGGATATTATTGGGGATGTGGATCTGGCTATTGGTTTCATGTGATCTAAGGGCAATTGCTTGTATTATAAAAACAGAAATTAAGTTCCAGTGGGAGAAGGACAATAAGATTATATTATTTTTTTAAGAACCATTATAGATAATGCAAACATGGGAAGGATGGCTCCCACAAATGCAAGTCAGATCCAGAGGCACACATAAGCAGCATCTAGTTAGATGATAGTATTTGAATAGATTTCCAGGATTCTTTTCAATCTGAGTCTAAATAGTCAAGAATATGAGATGAGTACAGAAAAGGTCAATTCAGTTTGAGATGTATTAAATATGGAATACTGTGTCTAACTCTCGGTGCTACACTTGGGCAAATTGGAATATATTCAGAGGGCGTTGCCTCAAATAGATTCAGAGGGAAGCAAATATGATTAAGAATTTAGGACTGGAAACAAAATTATCTGAGAAAAAAATGAAGCTGAGTATATTTAACCCTGAGTAGAGAAAACTAAGCAATATATACCAACATACTTTTTAAGCATCTGAAAAGTTACCTTGGCCATAATCAGATTTCTCTCTGCCATCCTGGGCTACAAGGCATTGAATGATTTTTTCTAAACTACAGCTGAATTTTAGGAAGAGATTTCTAGCAGGAAAATATTTTGATAGTTGAATCAATTACCGAGGGAAGTTGTAATGAGCCACATTTCATGAATTAGTTCAAAGAGAAACATCTCTTCAGGATATTTTAATTTGTATTCCTGCATGGAATAGACTTAAGAGTTTTAAATTTACCTTTCGAGGCTCTATTTTAGTAATCATTAAAATCCAAATCCCATCACTTTAAAAATATGTACAGGTAGGTCACAATTCGAGCAAGTTCAAATAGTAAAATATTCAATTTAACGCAAATTACAGATGTGTGGCTAACTTAGCATGCATGCATAATTGAGGGTGGTGCATGCCTAACTACAGCTGGCGTTTTAAATGCTAAACATTTTTGTGCAAAATGGAGAAAAGGAAGGTTCAGTTAGAGAAAAGTTAAAAAAAAAAGAATAGGCTCAATTGGAAGAACTAGCACAGAATGCAGAATATTAACAGGTACGCTTTATGCTCGTTTACTGTTACATAGTTTTTTGTTGAAAAGATATAAAAAGGTTAACTTTAAAAATGTTCTTTGGCTATTTCTTTGGCTCTGGAACCAATTATTTTTCCCCATGGAAATATCACTTCAAACAGTGCAAACTCAAGAATTATGATTATTTCATGGGATTCATTAACCACCCTAATTATGACCTAGCTGTATAACATAACTGAATCAATTACCTGCTTAGAATAACTTTATTCGGCTTCATTTAAATGTGAGCTCTTCAGCTATTGGGAGGGATCGATTATCCCATTATGAGTTTCACCACTGTGAACTCTAGTGCTGTCAAACAGCTGAGTTTTGAAACATTTTATGGAAATGCAAAGCACACGTTTACCAAAGCAAACTGATAATGGTTGGTGTCCAGTACAGGTGATATTTTCTTAATCAGGGGTCCTCAAACTACGGCCCACAGACTGCATACGGCCTGCTGAAGCCATTAATCCTGCCCGTGCAGGACCATGAGGCTGCCCCGCTCACATTACCCCGCCCACCCACTGGCTCCTACTCTTTGGCTGAGTGCAGGACTTATCTTCGCAAGCCCTGCAGGCTGGAACTGGAAGATAAGCTCAACATATTTGGCCTGCAGAGTGCTGCTGGAGGCGGCGGAGGTGAAAAACGGGATGCACGGATGCCCTGGGAGGCCAAAAATGGGCCCATTTTAGGCCTGCAGAATGCTTCTGTAGGTGGGGGGGGTGAGAAATGGGGTGTGCGGATGCCCTGGGAGGCCAAAAATGGGCCTGTTTTAGCCTGTTTTTGGCCTGCAGAATGCTTCTGGAGGAGGGAGAGGTAAAAAATGGGGTGTGTGAATGCCCCTAGAGGCCAAAAATGTGCCTGTTTTTGGCCTCCCCCGCCTCCAGTAGCACTCTGCAGGCCAAAAACGGGGTGCACGGAGGTCTCCCTGGGCATCCGCGAGCCCCATTTTTTACCTCCCCAGTCTCCAGAAGATAGAGAAAGAGAAAGAGAGAGACAGAAAGATAGAGAAAGAGAAAAGAGAGAAAGAGAAAGAAAGAGACAAGACAGAGAGAGAGAAAGACACAGAGGGAGGGAAAAAGAGACAAGAACAGGCAGAGAGAGATAGAGACAGTCACAAGAGACATACAGAGAGAGAGAAAGAGGGAGGGAAAGAGACAAGACACAGAAAGAGAGACAGACAGATGAAAGAGACTAGACACACAGAGACAGACAGACAGACAGACAGAGACAGACAAGACTCTCACACACAGACTTGTTGATTGTAAGCTCCTTGGGGCTGAGAAGAATTGCTGCAAAACTGAAGTTTCCTGAAGTAGACCACTAGACTCCTAAACAACTGAAAAAACGATCTAGTAAAAAGAAAAGTCAACCAAAAGAGCAACATGCAAACAAAAGCAAATAAAACACCTCCAGGAGCATAACAAATTAAACTTTAATTTGTGTGCATTGTTTAATGGACTGCTAAATTGGCCATGCCCACCCAGTCACACTACCACCTAGCCATGCCTGCCCAGCTGGTCCGGACCCCTAAGTCTGAGAGACCACGAATTGGCCCCATTTAAAAAGTTTGAGGACCCCTGCTCTTAATGATCACTTGTTCAGCAACTGTTGAAACTTGTGACAATGCTAAACAATGGGTGCCTACGACTTGTCCTTAAATTTTCAGCCATTGCAGCATCCCTGCAGACATACGATTATGATCTGGCCGCCAAGCACTCGGCTCATGATTACAACATTGCAACATCCCAGTCATGGTTATGTGTAACCTTGGCTGGCTTCTTTCAAAGCCAATAGGAAAGCTGGTAGATGATCTCTATGCAGATCAAGTCATTGGATTACAATCTCTTGGTATTTTTACTTCCTAACAATACCTATGGAATATATTTTCAGGTTCAACCAGCATTTTAAAAAATGTTAATATACTGCTGCTGCTTCCAAAACACAAGCTGCTGAGTGCCTCCAAGCTTCATCCCTGCGAACTCTTGTGCTGTCGAACAGCTGATTGGGGCACCAGGTATTGCTTTGCAACCTGCTATGATTTTTAATGTATCAATATGACCTTTTCTCTTCCACAAGATGTGCAGGTCTGATCTAGACCTTGTACCATGTTTTCCCAAAAATAAGACCCTATCTTATATTTTTTTGAAGCCCGAAATAAGCGCTAGTCTTATTTTCGGGGAGGTCTTATATTGTAGCACATGGAGCAAGATGGGGCTCCTCTTGCCGTCTTACCTGATTTCCAGGTCTGCATTTAAATATTTTCGAGGGGAGGCTTATTTTAGCGCATACGCTCAAAAGCTCGATTGGGCTTATTAACAGGGGATGTCTTATTTTTGGGGAAACAGGATATATGCAAAGAAAACATTGAACTGTTTGCCCTTCTCTGTTTAAATAAAGACTACAGATAATTCTCGACTTACAGCAGTTCATTTATTGACCGTTCAAAGTTACATCATCACTGAAAAGTGACATGACCATTTTTCACACTTATGACTGTTGCAGTCTCCCCATGGCCACATGATTTACATTTGGATGCTTGACAACTGACTCATATTTATGACAGTTGCAGTGTCCTGGAGTCATGTGATCACTTTGGAACACCAATTTTGGGCTCAATTATGATCCTAAGTTGAGGACTACTTGTATTTTTTAACAATGCTTCAGTTCCAAATTATACAGTATAAATGAAAGCAGTTATCCTTGAAATTGAGGTGTTGACCTTTTATAACAACAATGTAATTTGTTTTGCAGGTAACAAAATGAAAACATGTCTTCCAAAAGTCTATCAGTGAGTTGTGGTAATAGACAGTGTATCTGTTCCTTTTGTGGTAACTAAAGGGAAATTTCTGGGTCTTGCAAATTGTCCATATATTGTATGTGTGCATTTAAATAATAGCTTACATTCCCTCTGTAATTGTCAGATAATAGAAGAATTAGAATGACGGTCTCTTTATTTTTTAACTAGTCAAAGTGATTCAGAATATTGCATTGGAACATGATTTCCTTTACAAATTATCTAAGCAGGCACCTAGCCATAGCAGCTGAAATATTGTCATACTAATTTCAGTAACTGAGTATTGGCCAAATTGTATATTAAATAGGATTTTAAGAGCCATTATGACAATGGATATTCATTCAATAAATAGGCATTTCTTGCTCCGCTTAATGGGCAAAAAAAGCCTTCCAAAATGATGTTTTTCTACATAAAAATTATTGCTCCTCCACTTCCCAAGCTGTAATATTTTGTTACTTTAAAACTAGCATTTCATCTAGCAATCCAATTGCAATTAGCATTTGTTTGCCATTTTGTGAAATTGTATTTATTGCTTCTATTTCTCATTAAAAGCTTACTGTTCTTTTCTGTTGATCATTTAACTGGAAGAACTGTCACACGGCTTTTCTTAAAAAAAAAAAAAAAGTAGCCTATCCTTGAAGCAAGGATCTATTACTTTATGAATGTTCACATTCTTATTTACCTTTTCTTTTAAACATATTACTTTCAAGCTATGTGTTTTGCTTTCCCAGTCCGGCATGCAACATCCTTTTATCAAAGAAGTGGTAAAATATTATTTTATTACAGTACAGTAATACAAAATTAACTTTTATGCATCGTGAATGAATGCCTGGAGTGATTCTAAAGAAGAAATCATTGATAGAATGCTTGTGTTTTTTTTTTTAATCTGAGTCATTCTATGATACTGAGCATGTTGGTTCAGAGCAAAGATCTACCCACACCATCATCCTGTTTCTGCCAAAGCAGCAAAGCAATCATATTCGTTGTCCATATGGCATTGGCAGATAATGTCTTCTACAAATATCACCACATAAATGCAGGTTCTGTTACTATGATAAATACTACAACACTACTGACAAAAAATTTGGATGATTTAGTCATTTCAGTACATGAATTTTATATATTGCTACTTCCATAGATAATCAAGCTACAAAAATGCCCTTCCTTAGCTGTTCCTTACTTTCCAGTAGTACTGCTTATGCCTATGCTTTTTCCAAAGTTTCTCCTGAGCATTTGTTTCTCAACTGAATGCTTTGCATTCAGCTTCTTCAGCCAGTCTGCAACCTGCTTCCCGAGAGCCATTGCTTGGCTTCCTTCGTAAGCCTGGCATAGTCTTTCCTGCCTGCCAAGTATCCTACTTCTTTCCAGCTCTTACTGCCAGAAACATACAGCTGTTCCTCTCTTCAAGCCTTGAGTCATATATTTCAGTACTTTCCTAATGTTCTGCTTTCTTGTCTCTTGTTGTTTTCTGTTTCATTTTGTTGTTTCATTTCCTGTTTTATTTTTTTCTTCATGTGTCTGTCTCCCATCTACCAAGTATCGGTATTATGGAATATGTCTAAAAGAAAAATGATCCTGAATTTAAGACCCTCCATTCCAAAGGAAGAATAGATGGAGAAAAATCTTGAATAATATACAGATTCTCCTATTTCTTAACTCCAGCTAAAACCAAGCATAAGAATCCTCATTAGTAAGTCTGAGTGGTGGATGTGTTTATACAGTGTATTTGTACTTTGTGTGGGGGAATGTCTGTGCGTGTGGGGGTGTGAAACCCCCCCCCATAATAATTTCTAGAAGCCACACTCCAAAAAGGGGAGGACTGGGAAAGGGGGGGGTTAGAAAAAACAAATCAGTAAATGCTATTTTATTCTCAATCTTTAATTTGGTTTCAAAAATTAAAAATGTTTAATCATTTTGAAAAGAGTAAAATAACTCAATGATTTTCTTTAAATGAAGAATAAATGCAATAAAACAAGGTACACATATTTTTTCTTATTTCACAATGTTTAATATTTGTAATCTAAATATTTTAATTTAGAGTATCAGTACTCTATCCTGTATATAAAGGGGAAAGAAAAGAATCAGCTCATAAATGAAATGCAAGATGTATTTCTGCCCTTGGAGAAGCTGCTATATTCACCAGCAAAGGAAAAAGGGGTTACTGCCTAATTTTCTTATGAACTTCTCTTTTGCTGATTTTTTATATAGAATGGTTCTACAGTACTCTTGACTAGGCACTGACTGTTTTTAAAATACCAGAGAGAATAAATTTAGCTGGGTAAAGGTGTAAACATTATTAAATATGTATTTCATTTTTCTATAAATTTGCTGTTTCTTAAAAAACCAAGCTGTAAAAAAATATGTTTACAAAATTTTGTACCTGTGGCCAGGGCTTGAAGTAATATTTATATTAACCAATTAAAATTGTCTTTAAAATAAGGTACATAATTTATATAATTGATTTTCTATCTGCATATATCAACTATTGTCTCATTCACAAACCAGTCTTATACTACATACATATAATTGAGGACCCGGATTGTGGGGGCAATAAACTGACTTTATAGAAACACCGCTTATGGGGGGGCCAAAAGCTCTAATAAGCAGGTATATACAAAAGAATGAAGGCTATTGCTATAAGTGCATTGTAAGCTGCCCTGAGTCTTCGGAGAAGGGCGGCGTATAAATTGAACTAATAAATAAATAAATACAACTTATTTCATTCCAGCAGAAATAACACTAGTGAATGAAGGAAAAACAGGATAGAAATAGGATAAAAGAAAAACTGTAAAGGGGAGAGAATGGGAAAAACAAATTTGAATGGGGTTTGGGCAAGGAAAAAAATTAACTAAATCAGGAAGGAAATGAAAGAGAAATCCTGTTTCATTTAATCCTGTAAGAAAGGATTAAATGCATCAAACAAAAAGCAATTAGTCTCTCATCTTCATAGACATGGTAGATTTTCAGCAGTGCCTCTCCTGTCATTTGACTCTTCTATCAAGTCCTTGTATAGCTTTTGTTCTCATCAGTGAATGTAAAATAAACCTTTCCCTTATTCACAGTTAAGGAACTTAAGGAGTGGGAAGGAAGGGAAAACTTTCTTTCCTGTAGGCAAATATAATAGCTTCCTGTTTCTAGCCCTTTGCAGGCATTCATTTTAGCAAATTATTGATGACCCATCTACGAAAGGGATACGATTTCAATGAATTTTTTCTATCTTTATTTACAGAATCAGAATAAAAATGAAATTAATAAGGCATATGAAATATGCAATAAGCATTCGTGTGGATAAAACTTCATAAATCAAGGTTTTCTACTTTATTTTGCTTTGTGATTTGATGCTAAACTTTAGGAAAGATTTACAGCATGATTACCACTGAATATAAATAAACTATCATAGACCTTGGAATTGAGAAAAAAAATGCCTGGAGCAAAGGCTTAAATGGAAGGATAAGTTGTCTTCCTTTCTCATCTGAAAGAAAACCATTTACTGTATCATGTAAGCGTTAAGTTTGGTAGAACTGCATCACAGTAATGGCTGAATATATAATAAATAATGATATTCTTATATGGAGATATGACTCTAATTGATAAAAGTTGAAATAATTTTTCATCTTCTTGTTTTTTTCCTTGCAAATAAAGCAAAGTTAAGAATTTCTAGGTTGTAAATACTGTTATTAGCCAGTTGACCCATAAATTTCCCAGTAATCTGATGGAGTAAGCCTACTTTTGTTAAGCTTTGCTCCTTAGTCTTAGAAAAATAATTTATGGCAGAGGGTACTCCAGAAAATAGTGCACTGAACTTCAACTTACAAATTCTACATGAAAAATTAAATAAAAGATTTGATGAATTAATAACATCTTAAATCAACCTAAAGAAGACATCCAGGCACAGATAACATCAGTTAAATCGGACACACAACCAGGTGGGCCAGAAACGAATTTGTTGGTAACAGATTTGAAAGAGAAGGAGGTGTGTTTGAGAATTGGAGGCTTGATAGAGGAAGCTGAAGGGGGCATTAACTCAAAAGATTCAATTATTACAGACATGATCGAATGGATGAGTAATGAACTGGACCTTTTTAGGAAAATGGATGGAGTTTGCAGAATAGACTTACTATATGCAACCAAAAGACAATTGTTGAGAGATACTGAGTTCCAATTTGTAGGACAATCTACTAAACAACAAGTGATGCGGAGATATTCTCAACGGAGACGTATGATTTTGAGGAGTGAGATAGAGTTGTTTGGAAAGATCACAGTTATAATTTTAAAGAAAAGTAAAGACGATCAATGGAAGAAGTTATTTTTACTGTTAAGTATCAATCGATGGTATTTGATCCTAGACGGATCAGAGATAATGGTTGCAGTAGGTTTATGGGAGATTAGACGCCATTTTGGACTTTCTGCGAGTTAAATACAATAATAGATCATTAACAGAGGGCTTTGAAGGCTTAGCATTTTGGGGATTACTGGCTGCTTACAGTAAATAAATGGTAGTTCAAATTGGCTGATTGATATTTGTAATATTTTTGTTATATAGTAATATAGCAAATTTAGATGAATACGTTTATAAATTGTGGACCCATTTGCAAGAGACAAAAAATATATCGTTGAAATATATTTATCAGTATTCAACCCATGAGGGACATTTTATTTGTATGTTTGATATTTTGTTTTATACACATTTTTTGTCTTTGATTCTTTTCTTTTTGGATAAAATTATCAAAAAAATAATAATTTATGGCAGATAACCAAGTATCCTGGGTGATAAAAACCTGCTTTAAAAGCTGTGGAAGGTGACCATATCAGAGTTCGGCATTGTATTGTTTCTCTTCCACTGGTTTGTCCTGACAGTATTTTTGCCTAAGACGAGCTAAAAATATAGTTAGCCAGCTCTTTTGGTGGATAGGGTTACAAAAGAGAGACCTCTGAAATATTCTGACAAGTGTTGCCAGAATAAGGAGTTGTTTTTGTGGTTGTTTATATTGCAACAGCTATAATAACTGCATATTAAGTGTTTAAAAGTTAGTATAGAATCTACTGGGATGTTTGTACTCATTTTACTGTAATGCATTAATAAGAGGAATATTTATTTATTTATTTATTTGGTCAAATTTATATGCCGCCCTTCTCCCGAAGGACTCGGGGCGGCTCACAAAAGATTAAAAACGTGGAACAGTAAAAATAAATTATTTTAGATTAATTAAAAATACAACAATTAAAACCCATATTGAAACCAAACTAAAAACACCCCCCCCAGGTCAGGTGATTTGTTTAAAAAGCGTCTCTAATATAATATAATAGCACCTTTTCAGAATAACGAATTTTATTAAATGGCCTAAACTTTTGTGAACTGTAGCTTCATCAAATGCATGGAGTAGTTACAATTTAAACAGAGATCAGGCAAAGTGGGGAAGAAAAGGCAGTTATGCAGATTACAGGGGAGGCAAATTAGAACTATCTCCTCGATTAGCAATTACAGTCTTCTGAAATACCCTCATGCAGTTCAATATCTGTGATTTTGGCAGTCTCTTGTTCTAATAATCCTGAT